CAAATTACCTTATTATTCAATATTACTAGAGACATACTGTTCCAGTAAAACACTCCTGTATTCAGTTCACATATCATAGACTGACGAAAGGATCCAGCAGGTGGGCACATAACCTCTCTTATTTTACCTTGATTATCATGATCTCATCCATTATCTTAAATCTAAATTCTATTTGGATTTAAATATTTGATATCTTGACAATAGAATAATATATGGTCCTCTTCCTAAAAATAATTGAAATTAAATTTCTTTGAAGCCAATTAAAAAAACTCATTCTTAATAAGTCCAAAACCAAAATCTGTTTCCATTGATTTAGAAAGTTGCAAAATTACAGACCTATTATATTTCATAGAAGTCATAAAATATAGTAGTAAATTTCTGATTTACAATTCATATAGACATATTTTTAATTTGTCCATCAATAAGGGAAATTTTGATTCACCCATCATCAAATTAAGGAGAAAATTCGAATTCCATGTAAATCTTGATTGGCTATCAGCTAGTAATTATAAATGCAAATATTTACTTTATAATAGTATTAAATGAAAATGTTATTAGATTATAAAATGTATCCTTCCTTAAAGCTTTTTAATAATGGAAGGCACAAAGCACTCCTTGGTAAATTGTTCTCCATAGAATTTTGAGTAAGTTTATAACTCCTTATAACATGGATCCTATCTTCAATAAAATTTTTATTGTAAGAAAATATATTTTGATAATTTAAACCTTGATACTGTGAAAATCTAAATCCAAACTCTGATGAAATGGCTAGGCTATATTTCATTTGATAGATTTTCTTTTATTGATAATTTTTCTAATTGATAATTTTTCTAAATCTGAAGCATCTTGACCTTGATACAATGTGAAATGTTTATTGATATAAAATCATCTATAACATAAAATATCTTTAACATCTTCTGATGAGGCATCTTTGTAGCATACATAATCATCGCCATTAAAAATTAAATACATAATTTAGCGCATTTACATTAAATCATGTGATAGAAATTACTATTGGCTTAACATTGGTATGGTGATCATTCTTAAATAAATATTTTTTAAAAGTATACTACTGGCTGAATTTGATAGCCATTTTTTGATTTTTTAATACCTGTTTTATCCTTCGTTTTTTTGAAAATATAATGGGAAATATTTTTTTTACAAGATATTGATACCAAATAAAATAATCATTATATTTTTTTTTGTCATACTTAAACATTAAATTAGGTTATACAATTACTTATTTTTTTAAAAAAATGACATATACTTGAAGTTTACAATCTAAAAATTTCTTTTATAAAAAAAATCTTATTTATAAATTAATAATCTAATATTTAAAAGCCCATATTTTATAAATTAATAATTTTACATAAATTTCCGAATTTTTCCTATGATTTAATTTAATTTATAATGTTTAATATATATTATATACTTTCATATACTAGTAATAGCTCATATTTTGCCAATTATTTCAAGAAATTTAAATTATGCTTTGCCTAATTTAGCTGAAAATGATATTTAAAATTATCAGTCATCTTCATTTATTTCAAAAATTATTCTCTAGTTAACATGACTATATAGATTCTCAAGTACCTTCAAATATATATCATATTTTATTATATTTCATCATTATTCATATAATTTTTATGTAATTTAATATCTAAATTGAATAATATTAAATTAAATTTATATCATTTTCAAATGTTCAAATATGATAAATAAAGTGGGAGAAAAAATATTATATTTTCAATTAGCAATAGTTCCAAGAATAAAAGATTTTGACTAAGATTTGATAATGAAGATGAATATTTTAGGATAATTTTTTTAAGTTATCCTACATCAAATCAAAGTTGCTAAACCCTACTTATAAAAGTATCGCGTCACCACTATCGCGATTTGTCAAAAAAGTAGTGCACTACCATACCCATCAAAAAAATAGCGCGCTATTAGCTGCTATTTTTTAAAAGTAGCTTTGGCTACTTTTTATAAAAAAAATTTATAAATAAATTTGTTTTATTTGTTGCTTATAATGTAATTACTTAGTATATAAACATAAAATCATTATTTATAAATATAGTTAGTCTTGATTATAAAAAAATTTATGTAATAATAATAATGATAACTATTTTATTTGTTTGCATTTTTATAATACCCAAGTCTAGAGCGACAAATAGAAAGTATAAGCTTCGCCATACTAAATAATCTCTCAACACTAACACTTGAGCTCAAGGCAGTATTTAATTATATATAAATATTTTATATAAGAAAAATGATCAAAAATACTAATTTGTATTTGTATATTTTTTTTTTGCGGTTATACGCTACTTTTAATATGTTATCAAAAATGTAATAGCATATAATTAATTTTTCTAAGATAAAATTAATAAAGGTGAAAAATATAACAATAGAGTTTACGGAAAAAGATAAGAGATAAAAAATATAAAAAGAAAGCTAAGAATGAGAAGGGAAGAGAGAAGGCATAATGGAAGGTTATTCTATAGAAGAGATAAAACTTAGATATTTAGAGCGAATAATGGCCGTAGTAAGTCTTTGTCGTAAGAAGAGGGATCCGATCTGTTTTTTTACGAATCCGTTTGCCTAATTTTTATAAAAAAACGTTGAGCTTTGCTACCGAAGGTGGTGAAAATGTAGCAGATGAATAAAAAAGAAGGGTGTATGCAACTGTATTTGTTGATTTTTCGAATTCTGCGAAGGCGAGGGCATCGACAGTGTAATTAGATGGTGCATTTGGGTCAATGCAGGTGAAGTCACAAACCAGGAGCTGACCCCTTGACCAAGGAATCAAGGACATTCCATCTGGACGTTTTCCATCGGTTCTAAAAATTTCGGTTGGTTCAAGTCTAGATGGATTGCCTGCGGATTTGAGGGCACGTAATATTAAATCATTACATTTGGTGTGCCATGGAAAATGGCCTCGACAAAAGCAACAATGGAGGCAATGTCTACTCTTGCGATCGACGCTGGTTTTTCAATGTTAACATTCGTACTGTTGAACAATTCCACAAATGTGCCATAGTCTAATAGCAAATTTTATCTCTTCAGTGGAAAGCAACAAATCAAGGTTGTTAGAGGGTAAGGTTTCCAGAAACTCATACTGGATCCTTGGTTTAATTGGTGAAAACTGAAAGATCGTCGTCGTGCAGGCTCGATTTTAGGTAAGCGACGGAGCCTTGGTTGAGTGGAATTTCCCAGTTTCTGTGAACATGAGGAGGGTCGTGGAGTGTTTGGGACAACGGAATTGTCAAATATCGCGTCTAGGGGATTTTCTATTATATTAGTATTATTTATTTCAAAAAATGTCGTTTTTATGATTCTAACTAGGGCATTTTTGTCTGCTATCTCAATCATTAGTGTCTGGCGACAAAAAATTGTTTTACCAGGGATATAGTTTTAATCATCATGGTAATGATGGATAATTAACCAATTACATTGGCTGAACTGTAATAAATTCAACAATAACTATCAGCCAATTTCTGAGAAATACTATCATGTGCAATATAATTAATCAATTTAGCTTGAATTGAATTGGTCTTTTTGAATGTAATCTCCCCTATACCAAAATTATTAAGATGTTTTTCTATCTCTATAACTTTTGGCATGAACATTCTTAAAAAATAAAATACTATTAGAATTTAAAAATGACAATTACCTTTAGATGTTTTTAAAGTTATAGCTACTAGATTTATTTGAGGATATATCTACAGTTTGAACAAATAAATTTGTAGCCACCTTTTGTTTTTATATTAATTTGAAAATATTTTCAAATTTTGGGAAATTTGTATTATTTTTATCAAGAACATTTTCTTCTAGGGTGACTTTCATTTCTATCATAATTGTCTGACTCACTTACATCGATTTGGATATCCATTTGCGATGACATTTTAAATAATTTAACCAGATGATTTAGGTTTATAATACAAATAGAAAATATGAATTGCGAATTGAAAATATAAATTTCAATTTCAAAATTAAATAATTTATAAAAATTATGATATTTTAAAATCATGTTTATAATTATATTCATTATTTTAAAAAATAGCGCGCTAAAAAAATAAATATAGGGAAAAAAGTAGCTCACTATCAGCTATAGCTACCAAAAAAGATAGCGAGTTACTTTAACAACTCTGCAGAAAATAAAGCTAAAAGAAAAGAGATGACGACAAAACGTTGTAAAAATTTATAAATATTCTTTTAATTGTAAACTTCAAGTGTGGCATTTAAAAAATAATTGTTCAGTATTTGTATAATATTGAATGTTTAGGTATGACAAAGAAAAATATAATAAGATCATTTAATTTGATTTCAGTATCTGCAAAAAATATACCCCCCCCCCCCCCCTCACTGTAGTTATAGTTTTTATTTGTTCTAAAATCCAACTAGTTATCGTAAGATTTATCTAAACTTAAAATCAAAATTAAAGATTTCTTAGTTACATATAAACTTTGATTTTGAGAAGTATAACAATCCTTATTATTCATGATTATATTTTTTGCACACTACTCCATTCTTCATTTTTTTTAGATTTAACCTAATTAAAAAATTTCAAAAAAAAATTTATTTGATGAACCGCCATTAGAAATGAAAGACATTTTATGCATAGAATTTTTAAACTAATCAATCAAGCTAAAACTTTTCCTAGGGTCTTAAATTAAATTTTTTAATATTTAATAACTTTTTTTTATAAATTCTTAAAGGTATTAAGATTCGAATAAAATGAATAAATTGATTATTAAATGGTATAGAATAATCATTCGTGGTTGTAATATGATGCCCAACTTTAATGTTTGAGGAATTAATATTTACCTTAAATTTTTTTACTTAAATAAAAAATGTCTGAAATAAATGAAAAAATTGTCATTTTTGGATATTTTTTAAGAATCATTGACTTAAATTGACTTTTGAATAATTTTTAACTAATCTTTTATCAACATTTAATTTAGGATTATTTTTTAATTGATCTACAAAATATTTAAATATAGATTGTTGGAAATTTTATAGCTAGAGCTTTAGCTGATGACTGCTTTGATGCCAGTATTTTTAGCGATATGGAGGCTCATTTTGCTGACAAAGGACCTACACGTGAATTAATTAAGTTTGAATTTCTGTTTATGTTTGCCTTATCAAAATACTATTAAAAATATATGGTGAATTTTATTTTAATACAACCAAAAAATATTTTCAATCCCTTTACTTCCAATTTCACACTTATAGATAAGTTAAGAAAGATAATTTAAAAAAAAATTGAATTTAATTATGTAAAATAAATTATTTTTTAATATATATTTTTCCAAATTTTAACGTTAAAATACTAATGTATCATTGTGCCTATTAGAACATTTATCATACTAATAATATAATAAAATGTTAGGTCTATTCTGAGGCGTAGCTAGGACTTACCCATTGGGGGGGGGGAGGTTAAAAACCACCATTTTGTCCGACCGGCAGGTCCTTTCTTAAAAAATATTACATATTAATGATTTTTCATGGTTATCTATATCATTTCCGTTGAAGTGGGCTGAACAATTAGAAATACTAATTTGCTTTATTATCTGATTTTAACCTGTATAGCCAGCATAAATGAAAAAATTACTAGTTCAAAATTTTGGCTAATCTTTTGATTATAAAGCTATTTAAGGATTATTCTGAAAATATTATTAAAGTTTTCAATGCTCAATTGTAAATTAATTTAATCCGTTTGGTGTAGAAAGAGCAAGGTATCAATTTATTGGGAGGTTGTCTATCAAATATTTAGATGATAGAGCAAAATATATTGCTATAAAAAATTATTTAATGTTTTTATTATAGACTATAATACAATGATATTGCTAAACATCGACCAAATTTATATATTGCATACAATTATAGTTATTATATAGTCATTATTTTTCAAATAAAATTATTTCTGGATAATTTTCTCTTGTTATCTTTTTAAATAAAATTTAAAAGGGTTAGATATTCTATCAGCAAACATATATCCACACCAAACAATATACAATAATAATGCATTCATTGTAAATGAGGTGGTTTTTAATTATTCCCTAAATAGTAACTCTTTTACATTCACTTTTTAGATAGTTGGTGTAGAGTATTTATAATTTAAGTTATTCTTTTTTAAAGTATATGAAAGGAGTACCATATAATAGGTTTCTCCCCTATTCAAAATATAAAATTTTGGGAGTTTTGCCACCGTCTATGACAATAGATATATTTCATAACAAGGAAATATTTGCATTGAATAAGAATATGAAGAAAGTAAATACAACATAATATACGAAAATATAGTAAAAAACGCTGCTTTGAGTTAATAAAAAAATATGATAAATAAAATAGTGCTAAAAAATCATAAAACATAATATACGAAAATATTGTAAAAAACTAGCTGCTTTGAGTTAATAAAAAAATATGATAAATAAAATAGTGCTAAAAAATTAAGAGGGATGAGGAAGTAACTTTCATTTCCTTTTAGCAGGTGCGTACGCAACGGAGGAGGGAGGCAAGAGGAGACTTAACAAAGCCAAAATTTTCAGATGTCGGCTAAAATACTTTTTAAAAATATTACTGTTTTGATCATTAATTTATATTATATATCATTCCTACCTCTTATCACATATATTCCGTTTTACATTTATTTATTTACATTCACAGCAGTAGTAAACACAACTAATTTATTATATGTTAATAGCGAATTCAAATTTTCATTAACACTATATTAATCTAAAATTTTCCACCAAATCATTTGAGACTTTTCACTGCAACACTAAAGTAAAATATTTTTAAAAATTGACATCTATTTGATTTAGACTATGAAAATAGCTGTAAGCATTATTTTGGAATTTAAGGAAATTAGAGGAAATATAGATGACGAATTTCATAAATTATATGTCATTATTGAGTCAAAAACTGAACTATGAATTTAATATTTATCTACCTCGACTGGCAGCAAGGCAAACCCATCATTTCAATATAATATAAGATCAGTCAAGGAATACTATAAAATAAATCTCTTTATCCCACTCTTGGATACTTTTATAACTCAAATGACTGAAAGGTTCTTCATTAATCAGGCAGGATATAATAATCTGCAAATATTATTACAGTAGAATCCTTCCTAATCTATATCAAATCTTTATAGAGAAAAAATTTAATATTTCGCTGATTTTTATTGTGAGTAAAGTGCCCCATGATGCATTACTATATCAATGCAATGTTGTTAATTAGGTGCGTCACTAGCCTTTATAATCACTGGGCTCAACTTATCTTTTTTCCCCACATACCTCCTAAAGTAGAGGAAAGAGTCGGGTTTTCTTTTAATATATTATACTTTTTAAATTGATATTTGCAAACCCTGAACTAGTATTCAAAATTCCATATTTTCTCATTTATTATGCTTACATACTAATACTAGCATATAAATATTGAAAGTAAAACAATATAAGACATTTGGTAAGCTAAAGATACAAATTTTTATAGAAAATATTTATCTATTATTACAGTATTAAATATTTGCGATTGCAGAATATATATTATAATTTATAATATAAAAGAGCGTGAAATAAAAAAAATTTTGCAAGTAAAATATTGCAAAAGTGATACATCTAAATTATGCTATCAAATGCTCTCAGCAGCAGGGAAAATAATCTTAAATTACATATCTACACAATAATAGTCTGGTTATTTGCCACACTCATATTGTAAAGTAGAGACCTGCAATGGGTTAGTATTTAGCCCTTCCGCCCATACCTCAGGCGGGCGTGGTCAGGATGATTAAATTTTTGCGGGCGTAGGCGGGTGGAATTTAAAAATTTTTCTGGCGAAATGAGCAAAGCAGACTTCAATTTATTAAAAATAATAGTTTTATTTCATAATATTGCATATTATATATGTTTAATAAAAACACATTCAAATAAATAAAGTCAAACCAGCCATTAAAATAAATTTTAAACATTAGGCAGGCGGGTGGGACAAAATTTATGCATAAATTGGCGGGTGAATTTTTAAAAAAATTATAAGCGGATGGGTAGGTTAAAAGATTTTCAAAACAACGAGCTGGCTGGCATTTTGGTTAAAGTCCGCCAATAGCCAACCTCTAATGTAAACTCAATCAGGATTTATTATGTTAGAAATTTATGGATTTGCTACCACAATCAGACTTGCCATAGCATCGTCATCAGATTCCATGCCTATATACATCTAATTTTATCTTTAATTATATTAAAAAATTATTACTATCGGAGTTCATATCTCCCGATTCAACCTCATTTATAGATTCTATTCTTTCATTTTCTGCCTATATTATTTACATTTCTATTATTCATAATTAATCTTCTTTCTTCATTAACCCAAAAAATCTAAGTTAGATTAGTTTAAAAGTGTATTTTATATACTTTGTTGAACTACCCCCTTCATTATCCAATATACCTTTATATGGATTGTTGCTACCAAAAATCATACTTGCCATGACATCTTCATCGGATTCCATTTATCTTTATTTATATAAAAAATGATTACTGTCAGGTTTTTATCTCCAGATTCATCCTCATATATGGCTTCTATTGTTTTACAAATAAAATATCTTATATATAAATTAATTTAGCTATTTTCTTTCTCTGACTTTTTTCTCCCATTATTTATATCTCTCAGAACTACATTAATTTAAATTTATTATCCAAAGTATAGTTTTAAATTGAAAAACTGTATTTTAAATATACTTTGTTAAACTCCAACTCCTTTGCTTCCAGTTTTAACATTTAAAACATTCATCTCAAAATTAATATCTCTTCTATCTTCATTATCAAATAAATATAAAATAAATGAATGTTTTAATTAAATATACTTAGAGTTTTAACAAAGAAGTTTCGTATACTGGCTTGGATCTTAAAAATTTTCTTAGAAGGAGGCATTGTAAATTAAATTTACAAATGAGCAATATAGTTGATTAGTGATTTTAAACTCCGCTAACATATATCACATAATTAAATTGGATTAATCTTAATTTCAATTAATAAATGATTATATTTATTTAATTAGGATTGTAAATAATTTAAATAATATTAATCAATTAATTTTTTTTTAAAAAAATATAAAATCTATATATAATACATAATTGAAATCAAAAAAAAATCGTTCAAGGGTATCAAAATTTTTTTTTGTTCAGGGGGATGTTAAAATTTTTCAAGGGGCTCTAGCCCTTGCGCTTTTCTTCCTCCCCCTAATGACGCTACTGATAAATATGTTCCAAAAATGCTATGGATGCTTTGCAAAATTTCAAACTCATTTTAGACTATTTTCCTATCGTATCAAAATTATATATCTTTTAAATGGCTTCGTTTGAGCTGATTTTTAAAAACTGAAATTTTACTAATAGATGACTAAATAAATCTTCATACTTGCGTAATATTTATCTGGATAAAATATTAGCCTTTTTTTAAATAGGCTTAAGTCGAGTCTTTTAGCAACACTAATGAGAACTAATACTTCTGAAATAGATTGAATGGATTAGCCCTCCTTAATATACATAGATGACATCAGCACTGATGAAATCATTGAAATTTTAGCCCAAAGAGATATTGAATTTCACATCATTATAAATTTATTTATAATATATATGTTTCATAATTATATTTTTTCCCATTTTTCAGTCCCTTTTTTATTTATAATATATGCTTCATAATTATATTTTTTTCTCATTTTTCAATGCTCCCTATTTTATTTCATGAATGCTTTTTAAGTATATATGCATGAAATAATTATTAAGAATATTTTTGTACATTTATATTTCCAACATTTATTTTTTTGGTATCACGTCAATTCTGCGCGGAAAATTCGGCGCACGACAATTCGGCGCATATCTATTACAGTTGCAATTTATTATATATTACTTAATATAAGAAAATAAGGATGATTTCTTCTTATTTATTTTTACAAATATCTCAATTTTATTTACTAAATGCTTAATATCAAAAAAAATTCCAATATTTATACCTATTTCTTTGGTTGACCAATTTACCACATAAGGTATGTTGATTAGTAGCCAATGTTATGTAAGCCGAGATTATGGGCATAGAAGAAAGAAAGAAAAAGAAAGGTTTGGAC